GTAGTGACGAGGGGTTGACTCCGACACTTACTAGGGCCAACAATATAATAATATGAAGTTCCAAATTTAATCATAATGTACGTAGATGACAATAAGCTCAGAACGAGAATAATAACTGAAAAATCCTTCCATCATATTTAAGAATCCAAGGAACTTTCTTCATTAAAACAAGTGACCTTTCAAGCAGTAAGTTGTACAAATTATAAAGGGCTCCAGTTCTATTATCACACACAAATACCGCCGAGGACGTTCGGCCCGATCCAACATATAAATATAAAATATGCATTGCTGAGGGTAGAACGACGCGAACCATAGATGCATCTATTCACCCCGCTCGCGAATCATACATGCGACGCGGTCAAACATAAATTTAAGGAAATACCCCGCTCGCGGATCATGTGTGCGACGCGGTCAAGTATAATTTATCATTGAAATCATAATCCTTTCTTGTTTTTTTAAAAATGAGGACAATTCAACTTAAAGCCTTTAAATCCTTAGAAATCCTCAACTTACTTCCTTTTGTTACAATTAGCACGTATAATCAGATAATAGTGTCCACAGAGCATGGTAAACCTAAAACTACCCAAACTTAACACAAATAGTAGCTACCTACGGACTCTCGTCACTTCGTGCGTACGTAGACCCCACAAATAATCACATATTAATTAAGTTCAACTATGGGAAAATTTCCCTCTTACAAGGTTAGAAAAGAGACTTACCTCGCCTCAAAGCCTACTCCCAAACTCAAGAATGCGCTCAAACCCTCAAATCGGAGCCGAACAATCCAAAACTATTCAAATAGTGTAAAAACCAATCATTATAAGTTCAAAAGTTCATATTCTAACTATTAAAGTGATACCCAACCCCAAAGGCAAGATTCCTAAAATTCATCCCCGGGCCCACGTGCCCGGATTCCGGAAATTTTCGAAGGAAATTGTTACGCATAACCTTAGGAACATAAATATATGATGTTCACTAAGTTCCAGAACCATTTTTGTGGTAAAACTCCATTTTTATCAAAACCCTAGGTTTTCCTCTAAACCCATGATTTTCACTAATTTTTACATGTTAATCTACCCATAATCTAAGTATTTAACTCACATATGATATAAATTACTTACCTCCAAAAGCTAGATGAAAATCCCTCTCAAGAAGCTCCAAAAATCGCCCAACAATGGAGTGAAAATGAGTCAAAAATACCTAAGTCCCGTATTAAATGAAGTGCACTGCCTCCAGTTTTTCCGCACCTGCGGTCAGTGGGCCGCATCTGCGCCCTCGCTTCTGTGGACAAGTGTTCGCTTCTGCGGAAATGGCTGGGTTGGCTGGCGTCGCGCCTGCGGTCAGAGGGCCACATCTGCGGTCTTGCTTCTGCAGAAGGAGGGCCGCACCTGCGAAGCCTGGCCTGCCCCTCCTGGACCGCTTCTACGCATCATGGCTCGCACCTGCGGCCGACCAACCACAGGTGTGGTTATGACAGTTCTGGTGCACTGAGCTGTGGTTCTAAATTCTCAACTTGGTCCGAGCCTCGTCCGATTGGCACTCGGGGCCCCGCCTGAACATATCATTAAGTTTGGAATCATAAACCGGACTCGCTCGAACTCTCGAAACGCCTGAAACAACATTACAACTAAGAATCACACCCTAAAACCAATTGAATCAAACTTAAGAACTTCAAGTCCTTCAATTTACTTCCAATGCGCCGAAACGTACTTATACTACTCGGAATGATACCAAATTTTGTGTGCAAGTCTTAAATTACATTATGGAACTATTCCCGGTCTCGAAATTCCGTTTGGACCTCGATATCACAAAAACCCGCTCCAAACCAAATTTTAAAAACTTCTAAAAACCTTCAAGAACCAACTTTCATTATTAGGAGCCAAAACGCTCCCATGTCATCCAAAACCCGACTCGAACATACGGCCAAGTCCAAAATCATCATACGACCTGTTGGAACCCTCAAATCCCAATTCCGAGGTCGTTTACTCAAAATGTTGACCGAAGTCAAACTTGGCCTTTTAAGCCAACCTTAAGGAACCAAGTGTTCCGATTTCAATCCAAACTCTTCCAAATCCCGTACCAACCATCCCCGCAAGTCATAAATCAGTAAAAGTAAGTATGGGAAGTCTTATTTAGGGGAACGGGGTTCTAGAAAGCAAAACGACCAGTCGGGTCGTTACACACTCACTAGTCAAATAACATGTGTAATATAACAGTATACAATAGTACTGTAATAATCCGACCGGTCGTTTTGAGCTTTGGCGCGTCGTTCAGTGGTTTGAGGCCTTGCGTAGATTCACTTCAAGTATTATGACTTGTACATGTAGTTGGAATTGAATTTCGGGAAGTTCAGAATTGATTTGGAAAGAAAATTCTAATTTCGAAAGCTTTAAGTTGGAAGCATTGACTAAGGTTTGACTATTGAGTAAACGACCTCGGAAGCGGGACTTGAAGGTTCCAGTAGGTTCGTATGATGATTTCGGACTTGGGTATGTGTTCGGGTTGAGCATCGGGTGGCCCGAGAGCATTTCAACGCTTATTGTGGAAAGTTAACATTTTGAAGGTTTTAGAAATTTCTAAGTTTGATTTGAAGTGGACTTTGGTGTTAACGATATGCGTTTGGGATTCGGAGCCTTGGAATAGGTTCGTATTGTGATTTATAACTTGTGCGTAAAGTTTGGCGTCATTCTAGAATCTTTAAGTGTGATTCGGACGCGTTCATCGAAGTTTGAATGTTTGAAAGTTAAAAGAAGGATTTGATCGTCGATTCATGATTTTGATGTTTTTTGGTGTGGTTTCAGGCCCAAGTAGGTTCTTGTTATGTTTAGGGATTGGTTTGTGTCATTGGATGGGGTCCTGGGAGCCTCGGGTGTGTTTCAGATATGTTTGGGTTGTATCGCGCTCTTATTTGATGTTTCAACGCTATTTCTTTGGACATAAAGGGTACTATATTGAGAAAATTACCTATGATTTGTGATTGGATTGAACCATTAGATCCGTATCGTAATTATGGAATCAAAGCAATAAGAATCGTCGAATTCTGAGATCGTATGAGAGAGTTATGCCCATTTCCGTGTCAGAAAAGGTTGCTGGTTTCTGGTGCGGACTTTGTTCTTCGCGAACGCGAGGGAGGTCCCGTGAAAGAGAAGAAGGAAATTTTGGTTGACCGGTAAATGCGAAAAAATTCTCTTCGCAAACGCGAAGAACAAAAATCGCCTGGATAGTTTTTTATATGGACAGATAGAGCATTTTAGTATTTTGAGCATATCTTGAGTTCTAGAGCTCTGTTTGAGGTGATTTTTGTGGAGTTGTTCTCGTCTCAACAAGGGGGTAAATATCTGACCTTTTATGTTGATTTTTTCCATGATTGTTTTCGTTGGTTATTATTTTTGTCCGTGTTTGGATTGTAAAAATTGGGGGTTTGAGCCCCAAAGTTATGAGATGGTAAATCTTTGATTTGAGGGTCAATTCATGGATGAAATTGGATGATTTTCGAAATATATACTATATAAATTATGGGTAGTAATTATTTTCGATAATTTTCGAAATCCAGGCACGTGGACCAGAGGGTTGACTTTATTGAATTTTCGAGCGGAGTTGAAAATTATTATAAATTGATTAATTATGGGTATTAGAGTACATTTTTATTTGTTTGCACATTGTTTGACTAGTTTTGGAACGACGAGCATCGGTTTAAGGTGTTAGAGAGGCTTTGGAGCCGGTTATGGAACTTCGATATGTGATATGTGATACTTGTTGCGGGGGCTGCATATGCAAGAGGTGATGAGAGTGTAGCATGGTAGTTCACATGATTATCATTCTACCCTGTAAATTCTATTTCACGCTATTTAATTAATAAAAGTTATGATTCCAAAATACTAAAATGGGTAATTAAGTTGATCCAACATCGTTGGCTTGCCTGACGGCGGCGTTAGGCGTCATCACGATCTATAGTGGATTTTGGATCGTGACATTTGTTGTGAGAGCAGGGCATAAATTTCTTTAGCACGTGCATGTCACGACATCCCTGGACGAGCAGCGCTCAGCATAAATTTCTTTAAACGTAATTTATTAGCACGTGCATGTCACGACATCCACAGACGAGCAGCGCTCAACATTTGGCCGTTCGCATCGAAATCCAAATGCAATGTGGAGTCTCGATGCCACAAATTCTTACACTTAGATATGTCTGAAATCTTTGTTTGTCTGAAACTTAATCAATTTTTCGCTCTGTTGAATCAAAAGAAGCATTGCACATCATATCTAGATTAGGAATATGTACTATATAACAACTTAAGTACACACCTAATTGGTTGTTTGTGATTGTTCATTGGAGCATTAAGTTTGGTAACAATTCGAACTCTTGTCAGTAAGAAATAAAATTAATATTGCAAATGAACAAAATGAAAGCTTTTATAAATTAAAGAATATGGATGATACATTTCGATGTTACACATAGTGCAAAAAAGTTGTTATTTGTTTATTGCTTGTTTTTCAGCAACACTAAGCAAGTCGAATGCTCATATCTTGCCTAGAGCAATTAAAATTAATTGTTCAAAAGAAGAAAAGTTAAAGATTAGAGAAATCAACTTCATATTTATTATTGAGAAAAAGGTACATTGTAATATGATTTTGAATCAATTGCAAATGCAGAATGTATGTTAAAATTAATCAGTTACACTCCGTATACTATGGAAAACCTACTCAAAGTGCAAGTGGCATTTGGGACCGAAAAGAGAAAAAAGGGTTGTGAAGCGCTAGAAGGAGGGGTTGAACCTCCGACCTTGTGGTTAACAGCCACACGCTCTAACCAACTGAGCTATTCCAGCTTTGTTTAAGATGAGAAATCTTACTCTAAGTATTTCTCAGTTAACACCGAAATAGTAAAAAAAAGGACTATGAAACGCTAGAAGGAGGGGTTGAACCTCCGACCTTGTCGTTAACAGCCACACGCTCTAACCATCTGAGCTATTCCAGCTTCGCTGTGTGAGCAGGTCATAAACTACTTTAACTTGGTAGCACGTGCATGTCACGAGATCCACATCCCTGGACGAGCAGAGCTCAGCATTTGGCCGTTCGCACCGAAATCCAAATGCAATATGGAGTCTCGACGCCACAAATTCTAACACTTAGATGCGTCTGAAATCTTTGTTTGTGTGAAACTTATTCATTCTTCGCTCTGTTGAATCAAAAGAAGCATTGCTATCGAACGAACTAGAAATTTTGTCAGCAATGACGGAGGATAATTGCCCTAGAGTTTCATCTTCCGAATCTTTAGAATACAATTCTTCATCAACGAAGCAAAGGTGCATAAAGTTTTCATCCTTATAATTTTATAATATTGAAGGCACTTCAATTGTGATCTAAGTTTCCCTTAATATCGTTGACTTAGGTAAAAAAGTGAAACTTCACGTATTTATTAAATTTTGTTCCCTATCTCCTGAACATGTTTTTGATTGATTGTGTATACCATTCACCGTTTGGGATTTAGCCTAGCTGATTGAAATTTCGCATGATTGTGTCTACTTCTCCACGTTTTAATCCTTTTGATGTATTATTGGCTCTATGAGATTGTCAATATCCTTTTAGTATGATGCTAAGCTGGAAAAATTGGCATTAGTATATAAAATTGCAACTCTATAGGAACAACTAGTATTGAGGTAATGGAAGTAGTAAAAAGGGTAGCCCGGTTCACTAAGCTCCCGCTATGTGCTGGGTCCGGGGAAGGGCCGAACCACAAGGGTCTATTGTACACAGCCTTACCCTACATTTTTGTAAGAGGCTGTTCCACGGCTCGAACCGTTGACCTCCTGGTCATATGGCAGCAACTTTACCGGTTACACCAAGGCTCCCCTTCAGGTAATGGAAGTAGTATTTCCAAATGTACTTTCTAGGAGTGGTTTAACGTTTCAGAGATTTATTTGGAAAATATACAGAATTTCTGATACTTCTTATTTGTATTCGCATAATATTGGCATAATATGATTTAAGTAGACTCGTGTTCCGTGAGTATTCGTATAGCCGACCAACTTGTTTGGGACTGAGGGATAGTAGTTGTTTTTGTTTTGTTAGAGAAGCTGGTTTAACACAATAAGCATTAGTGGAATTGTTTGCATTATGCTGCAGAGGAGGAAAAAAAATAAGCATAAAAGTTTATATACTCGGGCCGAATAGAGCTGAATTGATATAGAGATTCGCATAACTGCCCCCGTCAAGTTTAGGATTGAGTCATAGTTGAGTTTCATATCATAAATTGATTGGTTTTTTGTTGACGTATCTACAGTAACCCTCCTCTTTTTTTGCGCTTGGTACCGGCATGTGAGCACAAACAAGATGCGAAGCTCATACCTAAGAAATTATTTGATTGATTGGTAAATATAGGGAAAAAATGTTCCAAGTTCAATCATGTCGGCAACAACTTTACAGTCTAATAAGAAGTTCCACATAAACTCTTTTGGTGGTTTAACTTTTCAACATCTTCCAGGAAGAGGAGAAAGTGGGATCAGCCTGCGGAGACATTTGTTCCAGATGGAGTAGCAGTATCTGGGATTTTTCCATTGGCAAACATGGGATCTTTTGCTGGTGTCCCAGTACCTGGTGTAGCTCCAGTCTTAGGTGCTGCTTTTATGAATCCTCTTACCGCTATTGGTGCTACTACAGTGCAGCAGCATCCTCTCATTGTTGCCCAAAAATTAATTCAAGTAAGATTTATCGGAGAAGATGCTGCTTATTCTTTTCTAGTTTGGAAGTTTTCCCCTATTACTTGAGGGTTGTCACATAGCTCTATTTGTTATTATCCAAATGTATTATTCACATATCACCCAACATGTGCTTCTCTTCCTTTTTCTTGGGGCGGACATTATTTCTGTTATCAGTAGCCTTTTCCCATTATCTGCCTCCTTATATCATTAATCAACACGTTCTCTGGTTCACTTTCCTGCTGCTGTCCTACTGCAAATCAGCAGTTAATGTGTTTGTTATGCGTCCTTTGAGTTTATATTGAATCTGCCATGCACTTTATGCCATTTTCCCGTAATCCTTCTACATACTGTTGTTTAACTTCAGCTTTCTTTTTTGTTTGGGTCATTTCTGATTTTCCAATCATGAACTATTGCAGCCAAAAATTCAGGATGAGTTGATAGCAAGAGAAATTGTCATTAATGACGCTGATCCGGCCGTTCGTTACAGGCTCACAAAGCGCCAAACCCAGGAAGAGGTGAATATTTTTTTTTTATCTGTAATACTAAAGAGGAGTCGAGAAGCAAAAAGTGATTATATCAAGGTTATGCACATTATTTATTGATTAATTATCATTGTTTCTGCAGATTCAGAAGAGCTCGGGCGCTGTGGTTATAACTAGGTAGTACACCATGAAGTCTTATATTGCTCATTGTTTAGCTTTTATTTGCGGTGTAATACCTGTTTAACCTGGCTATTGCAGGGGTAGATACAGGCCTCCAAACGCACCATCTGATGGTGAAAAACCCCTCTACCTTCATATTTCTGCTGGGGCACATGTAAGCAATTTTAGTTATTTGCTTTTAAGATGCACCATTTGGTTCGGGAAGATTGCTAATAAAGTTTTGTCCATCACTATATTGCATAGATGATTCATTTTTCTGAGCATTTTAATTACCTAACACATTTGCCTATTGTTAACTTGTTTCTCTTAGTTTGGTTTCTGTGTTTTCCCGACCATTGAAGTGGTTACCACCAATATTCTTCTGTTTTATTCTCTAGCTAAGAGTTCATTTATTGCTAGCTTTTTTCCTGATTTATCCAATATATACTAATTACTACATATGATTAGAGAATCTTGGAAAATCTTTTCTCTTTTAAAGCAAAAGCTGTGGTGGAGCAGATCATATTCATTTTTTGAACCTTTCTATTTTTTATTTTATTTTATTTTAATGTCTACAATTTTTATCTATCCATCTCAAATTTAATGCTCATGTTTGACTTGGCTAAGGTAGTGAGAGTTGAAAAGATAAAAGTTTAGAGTTAGAAGTCCACTAATTATTTTTGCTTTCTTAGGAACAAATTAAAAAAGATGTTGAGTAGAGAAATGTAAAAGGGGGCTCTCATTAACTTTCTGGTTGTGTTGTATTTGATAAAACACTTCCTCATATGGAAGTTGAACTTATCTTGGGTCACATTATGAAGAAATATTGACGTTCTTTGAAGTGGGGACTTATCTCTGTAATCTTTCATGTTTTTAATGTTTTGACCTCACTGTACTGTGTAATGTTATTGTTACGGTATATTTACAAGTACTATGGTTGATTCAGCTAGAAACAACACTGGAGAGGATTAAAGCAGTTGATTGTGCTGCCGCTATAGTGGAGGAAATGCTGAAGCAAGGTACTGTTAACAATGGATTGAAGGTAAGTAGTATCTGGTAAGGTTTGACAGGAGCTGATGCCAGAAAATTACTGTAACATCTAACTCTTTTACCATCAGGTCAATCATCTGCTTAGCACCTGTGTCTACCTGGGCTTTGAGGCTGATCCATCAGCAAATGTTGCTGCTCGAATTCGTGGACCAAATGTGAGCTCCCTCTATCTAACTTTGCCCTTTTTCCCTGGTTTGTTGAGTTATGGTGGTATGGTCGAGGGTTAACTGTTTTGGGAAATTTTCTATGGAGATCTCTCGCATAGTTAGCAACATAAAGTGGCAGAACCTTTTATTGTATGATTTTTATCCATTTTCCTTTTCAATTTCTTTTCTCTATTTGTTGTGAGTTGCTTGCAAGTTCAGATATCGGGAAAGTACAACCAGTCTTTACTTCTCTATTATTGATCTGATGTTGACATTGATTATTATTGTTTCTCTTTATTGATCAGATTCTGGTCTGAGTAATTATATGATTGTTTCTTTCCAGTAGATTCTGTGTAATCTATTTCCCAACCCTGTTTGGCATGCATTGATGCTTAATGTGCTCTTCTTAAATTTGTTCTAATTTATAGAAAGCCAAGAGATTCTAATGTTCTGAGCTTTCTCTGACATCTCCGTCCATTTGGAGAGTTTTTCTTCTGTGCTGGTGGTTGGCTTTTGTAAGTGCAGGATCAGTATATAAATCACATTATAAATGAAACTGGAGCGACTGTCTTGCTAAGAGGGCGTGGTTCGGGATATTCAGACGGAGGACAGGGTGAAGGTGCCTATTTGTTGATTTTTGATGCAATGTTTTCCCATGCTCCGTAGTTAGCATGATAAGATCAGTTATCAACTATGCACCACTGGCCCTCGGGGATTTCTTGGTTATAATAAAGATTCCTCTTGAATGTATTATTTTTATGTGCAGATGTGCACCAACCTCTGCATTTACTCATATCAAGCAATAACAGTGCGAGTCTTGAGCGCGCAAAGCTTTTGGCAGAAAATCTTTTGGATACTATTTGTGCGGAGTGTGGTGCTTCTAGGTATGCATGTTTCTTTGAGTGTATGAAATGTAATTGCAACATTTTAACTTGTTGTTCAGAAGAGGTTTATATGGGTTGTTGTTTGGTATGATTCTGTTTCTTCTGTTGTTAGACATACCCAAATCCTCATCTTGTGACTGTCATTGTGCAGAGTCTCTTCTTGTAAGGTTTATGGTGCTGTTCCACCTCCACCACAACCGTTAGCCAGCAGTCAGGGTTCTGGAAGTGAATCAGAAGTCAATAATATACCTGCAGCCAATGTAGCTGCACAGATTCTAAGCTCCACAACAGCAGCAGCAGTTCCCGTGACTGCAGCTGCAGGTGTGACTAATGTTGTTTCTCAGGGTACATTGCCTCAACCTGTAGGTTCACTGAATCCTGTGCCATCTCAACCTCCCACCGGTTGCTATCCTCATCAATCAGTTACAAGCAGAACAAGCTATATTGGTTATGATGGTATATATCCACAAGCCACTCCTCTGCAGCAAGTTGCTTTGGCTCTTAGGAATTCTACTTCTCCAGTCACTGCCACAGTTGCTCCAGCTACAACAGGAGCAAGCATCACTTCACAGACAAGTATAGGTTCTGAGAAGGAGAAGCGCCCTGCACAGAAGCGTAAATTTCAGGAGCTGCCGGCTGCTCCAAAGGGCCAAGCAACTGTAAACCAGGTATGTGCTAAATCTCCTTGACCTATACTAAGGTATCGCCAGGCAATTGCCTTTAACTGGTTTTTGATGAGAAAATTATAAATGGTGAGGAAGAACATTGAAAGCACTTCTTGTTATAATTTCTGGCAAAGGAATCTAGACTGGAGTATTCAGGGGTTCTTCTGTTATCGCTTTCTGCTTATTGAAGTATGCAATGGGGCACTGGCAGTGCAAAAAGTTTTGCTCCAATGGCCTTTCTTTTGGATGAGGGCTAAAATGATACTTAGATGATATGATTCAAAAAAAAAAAAAAGGGGTAGATGATATATGAATAGTGGCACTACTACTGTTCTAACTACGTAGTGGAAGATTGAGGTGTACATGTATATCACTTATCTGAACGGATCAAAAGCACCTCTCCGAGTGGTGCTCTTTGACCATTCATTGACCATTCACTATGTGGTATCCGAACGGATCAAAAGCACCTGTTCTAACTACGTAATGGAAGAGTGAGGTGTACATGTATATCACTAATCTGAACGGATCAAAAGCACCTCTCCGAGTGGTGCTCTTTGACCATTCATTGACCATTCACTATGTGGTATCTGAACGGATCAAAAGCACCTGTTCTAACTACGTAGTGGAAGATTGAGGTGTACATGTATATCACTAATCTGAACGGATCAAAAGCACCTCTCCGAGTGGTGCTCTTTGACCATTCACTATGTGGTATCTGGCTAATCGACTTCTAGAATGATGATATAACTGAAAATAGATGCCGGTTTGTATAAAACAAGTTTCCCTTAGTTTTTGGTGTAAAGAATATATACAGGTTCATATCTAGAGGGGTGTTCCTGGGGAAAGTGAACTTATGCTCCCCTCCCTATATCATGTATATTAATCTTATAATTTTTCAGAAATACTTATATATGTGTGCGCACCCAAGCTCAAAGTATCATATGATGCAAATATTATTTGGTGCACCTCTCTAAGTAAGGTTGGGAGTTCAAATCTTATGTCAATCTTGATGTTTTTTTTCCTCCCGTTTTCTAGAATTGGGCGCACCCACGTCTTTCAAAATTTCCAAGTCTGACACTTTGAAATTCCTTTTCTTTTGTCAGCGTAAAATTTTATATAATTAAACCAGATGTATATATTAAAACTAGTAGCATTAGATAATGTTAACATATATTCAACGGGTTCAACTAATTCCACCATTTTCTACACGAAGTGATATGTATGTAAGAAAATTACTATTTTTAGAAAAATTAATTTGAACTTATAATTCCAAAAGCTAATGGGTGCAATAGTAAGAACTAAAGGTTAAACCCGTAAAATTTATATCCTGGATCCAACCTTGTCGTAATGGTGAACCCATATTCCCAAAATCTTGGATCCACCTCTGAATATATAGATGACCCTGATTCTAGAAGTTTTAGATTCGTTGTAAGAACAGAGATTGTAGTTTTTGGCTTTTCGCTGATGTAACGTCCATATTTTGGTGTCCAACACAAACTTTGTGATGCTGATATATATATATATATATA